TTTTCTTGTGATAAGAGCTTTTAAGATCTAGCTCTCAGAAATTTTCAAATATATGATACAATAGTGGCAATTATAATCACCATTACACCTGTGGAACTTAAGTATCTTAGAACTAGAGGCTTATACCTTCACATTACCTTCACCCGTTTCCCACCCACACTCCCCATTTCTGGCAACCACCAGTCTCTTCTGTGTTGCTAGGAGTTTGTTTTTGGGTTCCACCTATAAGTGAGGTCATACACTACTTGTGTTTCTGTCTGACTTACTTCACGTAGCATAATGCTGTCAGTGTTCATCCATGTTGTTGCAAATGGCAAGATTTCCTTTTTTATGGCCGAATAATGTTCCATTGTGCGTGTGTGTGTGTGTGTGTGTGTGTATACACACACACACACACACACACACACACACACACACACACACACCATATTTTTTATTCATTGGGTTATCTGTCGGAGAAACTTAAGTTGTTTCCGTGTCTTGACTCTAGTAAACAATGCAGTGAAAATGAGCACGCAGATACCTCTTTGAGATAGTGACTCCCTCTCTCTTGGACATATACTCAGAAGTGCAATTGTTGGATCACGTACTTTTAACTTTTTGAGGAACCTCCGTACTATTTTTTTATAGTGGCTGGACCAGCACTGGCCACCCACAGTAGCCAAATATTTCCTTTCTTTTGTCTACACCCTTGCCAACACTTGTTATTTCTTGTCTTTTTGATAATAGCCTTTCCAAAAGGTGTGAGGTGATATCTCATTGTGGCTTTGATTTACGTTTTCTTAACGATCGGTGCTGTTGAGCACCTTTTGAGGTACCTATTGGCCATTTGAATATCTTCTTTGGCCATTTTGAATTGGATTATTTGTTTTCACTGTTGAGTTCCTTATATATTTTGGGTATAAAGCCCCCATCAGATATTATGGATCTCTTATTATGGAATGATAATCAAATATTTAAATGACTTATTAGGAATTAGATATGTGGTTTGAAAATATTTTCTCCCATCTTGTAGGTTGCCTTTTCATTTTGTTGATTATTTCTTTTGCTGGGCAGAAGCTTTTTAGTTTGATGTAGTCCCACTTGTTTGTTTTTGATTTTGTTGCTGTGCGTAAGTATCACATCTAAAAAGTAATTGCCAAGACCCGTGTCAAGGAAGTTTCTTCCTGTGTTTTCTTCTAGAACTTTTATGGTTTTCTGCAGTCTTACACTTAAGACTTCAGTCCATTTCAAATTAATCCTTGTGAGTGGTATAAGACCGTGGTCTTGTTTCATTCTTCTGCGTGGGAGCATCCAGTTTTCCTGGCAACATTTATTGAACAGACTAACCTTTTCTCCATTGAGTATTCAGTGAGTCAAGTACTAGTTGAGTGGATACGCATAGGCTTACTTCTGGGCTCTTCATTCATTTCCATTAGTCTGTTTGCCTGTTTTTATGCCAATACCAGGCTCTTTTGATCACTGTGCCATTGTAATCTTGTGTGAAATCAGTAAATGTGATGCTTCCAACAATGTTCTTCTTTCTCGGGACTGTGTTGGCTATTAAGAGTCTTTTGTAGTTCCACACAAATTGTAGGATTGTTTTCTTTTTCCTTAAAAAATGCCATTGGATCTTGATAGGGATTATGTGGCGTCTGTAGATGCTTTTGCGTAGTATGGACATTTTAACAATATTAAATCTTCCCATCCATCAGCATAGGATATGTTTCCAATTATTTTTATCTTCTTCAGTTTTTTCCATCAATATCTTATGGTTTTCAGCGTATAGGGTTTTTTTTACCTCTTTGGTTAAATTTATTTCTAAGTATTTTATTGTTTTTGGTGTTGTCATAAATGATATTTTCTTTATTTCTTTTTCAGATAAATTTTTGTTAGTGTATAGAAATGCTAGCCTTTTTTGTATGTTGATTTGGTATTCTCTAACTTTACTGAATTCATTGATTAGATCTAACACTTTTCTTGGTGGAGTTTTTGGGATTTTTTTTATGTGTATAAGATCATGTCATCTACAAATGTAATTGTACTCTTCCTCTCCAATTAAGATGCCTTTTATTTCTTTTTCTTGCATAATTACTCTGGTAGGACTTAAATCACTGTGCTGATGGGAGTACCATTCCTATTTAGAGCGGATAGCTTTGTCTTGTTTTTGACCTTAGAGAAAAAACTTTGAACTTTCACCATTGAGTATGATGTTAGCTGTGGACTTTTCACATATGGTCTTTATTGTGTTGTGGTACAGTATTCTACACCCAATTTGTTGAGAGTTCTTATTATGAATGGATGTTGACTTTTGTCAGATAGTTTTTCTGCATCTATTGAGATAAACATATAATTTTTATCCTTAATTCTATTAATGTGTTGTATCACATTTATTCATCTGTGTCTGTTGAATCATCATTGTTTCCACGGGATGAATTCTACTTGATGATGGTGTATGATCCTTGTAGTATATTGAATTTAGTTTGCTAGTATTCTGTTGAGATTTTTTGCATCCTGTATTCATGAGGGATATTGACCTATAGTTTTCTTTTCTTAAAGTGTCCTTATCTGGCTTTGATATCAGGATAATACCAACCTTGTAAAATGAGTTTGAGAGTGTTCGCTCCTCTTCTGCTTTTTGGAAGAGTTTGAAAAGAATTGGTATTCATTTTTTTTAGGTATTTGATAAAATGCAATAGTGAAACCATGTGCTCCCGTGCCTTTTGATGGTAGGATATGATATGATCTCTTTACTTATTATTGATCTATTCAGATTTTCTGTTTCCTCATGATTTAACTTTTGTGGGTTGTATATTTCTGGGAATTTGTGTGTTTCTTCTAAGATTGGCCAATTTTTGGGCTGTAGTTGTTCATAGTATCTTAAGACTTGTATTTCTGTGGTATCAACTATATTGTCAGACAGTTTTGAAGTAGATTCTTCATCTGTAAGATGGAGATAGTAACATTCAACTCTAGAATGATGAATAAGATAATGTGTATAAAACATCTAGAAAAGTATCTGATGCTTAATCAAGGCTAAACAAAAGTGAGTTAGTCTTGGGGCACCTGGGTGGCTCAGTTAAGCATCCGACTTCAGCCCAAGTCATGATCTGGTGGTTCACAATTTCGTGCCTGGCATTGGACTCTGTCCTAACAGTTCAGAGCTTGGGAGCCTGCTTCAGATTCTGTGTCTCCCTCTCTCTCTGTCCCTCCCTGGCTCACACTCTGTCTCTGTCTCTGTCTCTTCCTCTCAAAAGTAAATAAACATTAAAAAAATTTTTTTTTTTTTTAAAGTGAGTTACTTTCCTAGGGAGAGGCCAACAATAATTTTCTCTTTTCCCTTCTCATGGAACAGATGGGAATTGAAAAGAGAAGACCGATAGCAATTGGGAGGCTAGAATTTGTGCTAATAAGAAAGAGGCCATGATCTGTGTTTTATCTAAAAACAAAACAAAACAAAAAAATGGCTTAAGAAGAAAAGAGGGTTAGTTTTTTAAGATTATATAGTTGGATAAACAGTAAAAATCATTTCAAGTGTATGTGTTACTTAAGAGTGCCATGCAGGGGGGCACGAGGGTGGCTCAGTTGGTTGGGCATCTGACTTTGGTTCAGGTCATAATCTCATGGTTCTTGAGTTTGAGCCCTGTATTAGGCTCTGTGCTGTCAGCTCACAGCCTGCTTCAGATCCCTTGTCTCCCTCTCTCTCTCTCTGCTCTCCCCACTCCCCACATACTCTCTTTCAAAAATAAGAAAACAATAAAAAAAAAAAGTGCCATGCAAAAATTACCAAAAATTAAGCATTACATATTTGGTTGCTGAGTACAGTGATTCCATATATATTTATAGTCAAATATTAACAAAATTACACATTGGTCAGGTTCAATTATTAAAAGTTCAGTTTTCCTCATTTTGAAATTTTAAAGCATTTATGTGATGATAGTGTTTTAAACCATGCTACTCATTGTAACAGTTGAATCAATGAAGATGTTTTTTTTTTTTCGTTTGGTTTTGTTTGGTGGTGTTAAGCCTTTTTAGTGTAGGGCTGTTTTATTATGTTGTAGCTGTTTCTTTTATTTTTTTTTAAATTTTTTAAATGTTTTTATTTATTTTTGAGACAGAGACAGAGCATGAGCAGGGGAGGGGCAGAGAGAGAGGGGGACACAGAATCCGAAGCAGCCTCCAGGCTCCATCGATGCGGGTCTTGAACTCACAGACTGTGAGATCATGACCCGAGCTGAAGTCGGACGCTTAACTGACTGAGCCACCCAGGTGTCCCGCTGTTTCTTTTATAATAACAACATTTATTTAAATTACATTAAAAAATTATGAGAGTAGAGCCAACATTTTAGTTTTTCAAAGATAATTCTCTATCATGTCTACAGAATATTGGGATTTTTTTTTTTTCAAAACTAATAGTGTTCTTCTCCTTGTTTACTTTCTCTAATATAATCTTAGGGAGTATTCATTGGACTTGTTTTAATATTCATTTTTTTCTGACTTCAGGAGTGAAAAATACTGTCGTAAAATTTCTAAGGCCATGGTGTATTTTTTTGTGAGAATGCTATGTTGCCTCTTTATTCTTATATCATTAGTTACATGAATATGCATTATCATTTATAGATAATACAGTATACATAAGCAATACTACATTTTTATTTTTATGATGGCCAAGCAATGTCAGTGGTTTAAAAAAATCTTGAATTTCTTTTCATTAATCATTGTAAGTATTTGTAAACTTTGTTCCTCATGGATATGTTCATTTGAAGATAATACTATGTGATTTGTACAACCATTTTTGAGTAGTTGAAACTTAAAAGAATTGCAAATTGAAATTTCTTTGCCTGGTGGAAATAAAATAAGTATGAAGTATGGTGGACATTGGCTTTTTAAATATTTCTCCTATAAAGCGGCACATGTCACTAAGCTACCATTTTGGTGTATGTTTTGGGTGTTTTTTTCCCATGCTAAGTATGTACTGACTTTAAAAATTGGAGCTTCATTTATTGCTATCATTTGAACAGGTGTCTCAATGCTTGTACCTACTGCAAAACTAAACATGCCAGAGGGAATTTGGCGAGTTATCCAATTGATGAACTAGTCGATAGAGCCAAACAGTCTTTTCAAGGTAAGAGTTTCTAGAATTATGTGCTCTTTGACCACTCTTCTGTCTCCGTATGATGTATCTTGAACTTTATCACCCATTTTCACTTAATAGAAAAGACAAAAAAAAAAAAATGATTGACCATCTGAAGTGTGTTAAGACTTTTGTGGACTGAGGTGAAATACTTTTCAAGATTTCTGCCTCTTTATTTGGTAATTTTTGGACCATTTAGAAAATAGAGTGAGTAAGTGTTTCCAGGAGTGTTGGAAAAGGTAGATTCTACTATCAACTAATAAAGTTAGCCCTCTTTATCTGCAGGACTGTTGGACCAGTGCAGAGTGGCACTGGTAGAGAGTCCTAATGAGAGTAATTCTTTGTGTGGGTGGCCAGCTACTTCTGAATCATCAGTTGCTGGAAAATGTGATTGTTTAGGTATCTCTCAGCATATAATAAGACTTATCTTTAACATGAGTCACGGCTGTGTTGATACATAACTGCTTATTAAACCATAAACTCCCTCTTTTGTCTTTGTTTGTAGTATGTGTGTATAACATTGGTGTTTCTTTACGCCCAGCGTGATATAATCTATTGTCTCATAATCTTGTGGGTTAATAGTTATTGGAGATGTACTTTCCCTTTTAACACGTAAGTCAAATGCTGCTTTTAGTATACCCTCAAAGTCATAGTATGAGTTCTTTATTTAAATAGTACTTTAAATAAAGTGAGCGTTTTTTAATTTAATCTATGTAAAGCTTTTGTCAACATGAATTTGGAATGCTCTTTGTAATAGAAAAGTACCCTTGACTGATTAACATCTGACAATTTTTTTTCCTTCATTCACATTCAACTTGTATTGAACAAGAAATAAAAGGCAACACATCGACTCTTACCAATATTCTGTTTCAGAGCCAGGTAATTATCTTATCTGAAGAAGAGTCTGAGTGATTGTCTTCTGTACAACACGACTATGTTAAGGCTTTTTCAGAAAGGGCATAAATTTGCACGGGAACTTAATCTACTTGAAAAATGATGCCTTTGCTGGTATTCTGAGTTGGTGTTTATTTTTCCCCATATCTGTCAGATAATGGGGATATTAAAACTCTATGGTCTGTCCACCAAACACTGCAAATTGGTAGGAGTATGATTTAGTTCTTTCAAAGGACTTTTCCAACATTATGCATTTCTAACTGCAACTAAATATAACTGGAAAAAATCTTCTCATTTTACTCTGACAATTTATTTTACAAACGTGAAACTGTTCAGTCACCATCTAGGAAGTGAATGTATTCCCTTGGCTCCCTTGTATCTATCCCCCACCTATAACCTATACTGACATTTTGACGTGATTGCTTCGTGACTCAGCATGGACACATTTATGTATTACATTTGACTTGAGGTAAAAACCAGAAAGGAATAATCCTAGTTTTTATAAACTATAGAATTTTGCTAAAGATACCCAGCTCAGCTCTCTGACACATCTTTAGAAATGCCCCCTGAGCAATACAAGTACGGTTGTGTGACTGCTGCAGACTTGAGTCGTCACTGACCATCGTCACATCCAAGTGGGTTGGCCAGCTATGGTGAATGTTTCAAAGTATATATCAGAGGTCAGCAGTGACTTAGTGTTTATTTATAGACCAAGTATTAGAAGAGATTTACTTAGTATTGCTTTCATCCACATGAGTATGTGTGTGTGTCTGCGTATGTGCCTTTTGGTTCCTGACCGTGGAATGTTGGCAATGTAACCTTTTTCTATTGTCTTCTACCTGTATAGTAGAGTCGAAACGGAATGCTACTTTCTGGACTGGTGAACTCATTTGGTTGACGTATGGTACTCTTACTAGAATATTGAGATCATAACTTCCTAGGCAAGCCAGTGTGGTTAGGAAAACTTTGAGTCATTAGCTATTTGATGTGCTTTGCCATAGGAGAGTTGGAACTGGAAACAGTGTTCTGCTGCTTACCAGCTGCTATGGTCTGAGGAAGGTACTTGGCCCCTCCAAGCCACGGTTTTCTCATTACTGTGACACTTAGCACTGCTGGTAGTTAGAATTCCATATAGCTTCTACGAAGTAATTGCCTGTGTTCTTTTTATGAAGCAGACATGTTACTTAAACTGAAGGAATTTAAAGTGAATCCAAGAAGTCTAATTTTGAGTGAGAATATTGGAACATCTATAACAGACATTAATGGCTAGAGTCAAATGACAGGTTTTCTTTTGCTGTTAAAATATGTTTTATGAAAAACGTCTCTATAAATAGAAACTACTTAGTGTGACAGTTACCTCTCGTTCTCTTAATTTGAGAAAAGCAGATTCATGCTGAGGATGGCCTTACAGTCTTTTTCCACTCCAGGAACTATCCGTTGCTAACTTACATTTTAAACACACTGAGTTAGTTCATTATCTTTCTTTCTGCAGAAGACGTTGGGATTTTACTGATCTGACAGAATTTCTGTGTTTGAGCTTTAGAATTGTAAAGCATAATTATGAAGGTAAATATAATAGAAGAAAAACCTCTTATCTCTGGGACTCTTGCATATTTAGTTCTTTAGTAATCCAGGTGTTAGGAATATTTTTTGAGCTAGAACCCCTGAAATTCTTCACTACACCATTATTCAGTGGTCCTGTAATTAATAATAAACAGCACAGTTCTTTGAAAAGCTACTTTAAGATGAAAACTCTTAAGTATGCTGTTAATAAATTTTAGTACGAGGAAAGTCAGTGGAAGTTAAAGGAAAAGTGCATGTCCTTTCTTTTTCTTAAATTTTTTGACGACTTACTGTGTATGAAAAATACAGAGTGATTTATAAAAACTCTGAACAAATTGTAGAATGGGGATAGAACCCAGGTTGCCTGTCAGATGATAGAATCAGCACGGCACAATTTCTTTCTGAATAGCATATTTATGAAATATTTTATATTCATAAAAATTTATTTCTTAAAAGTTTATTTCTTAGTAGTCTAATGAATGAAGAGACTAAGGGTTGACCCAACGGCAAGGGAGCATTCAGAAGAGGTTCTGAAATAATCACGAAATCATTCTGAATGTACAGTGGTTTCCCAAAGAGCTAAAATTATACTGACTATACATCTCGGCTGCCAAAAAACGAGAAAGAGAGCTCGTTAAATTTTGAATGGATAGCATTAAAATCAGAATTACTTGTATTTTAAAATAGAAACTTTACCTTTTACCAAAAAAAAATACATATATATTATTTACTTTATATTTAGTTGGTTTCCTAGCTTTGTGTGTTTTGTTTGTTTGTTTGTTTGTTTGTTTTTGTTTTGTTTTTCTTTTTCTCTCATCCTGGTCCCCTTGATATTTTCACCTTCTCAACATGTTTATCATTTTTGTGGCCAGTTCTGAAAAGAAGATTTATCAGGTAACAGCAGCTTCTTAATCTCATTGTTCTAACAGACTTGGGACACCTTCCCCCTCACTTCCTCATCTGTGCTGAGATTTAGGTTTTAAAAATTCCTAGGCATCACAGTTTGGGGAGACTGGGGTTTGACGTGGTTGCATTTTAGATATCTAGAAAAACATGTCAAGCTATGACCAGGACTTTGTTGGGGCCAGAATGAATTTACAAGCTAGTGTTTTCTAGGATATTCGTATTGATTTTTCTCTAGCAGGTAATCAATCAGTTTCAGTTGTGTAAGTGATGGCGCAAACCTTTTTAAGTGTGCCGGGTGAGTGGTGTGGAAACAACACCTTTCACTGCCGTCTCTGGAATCAAAATGTGGAGATGATGGATGAGCTATTTTTATAGCTATCGCGTGCTTTTCTAGATCTCATTTGTGTGTCGGTACTGTTTTTTTCTTCCTCATAAATTTAAAAAACCCTCGCAAGAAAGTGGCCTAAACCCGTTATGGAAAGGTAAATAAATTGAGATGAAATATTCAAAGCAGGGAGAAAATTTCTTGGTGCTCAGTGATTTTAATATTCCTGTTGAAATTTTTAAAAAATGAATTGTTTTATTTGAGACTTGCAGAGATACTGTCTGCTGCGTGTAGGATTAATTATGAAATGCAACTGGAAAACATTACTTCCTGACCTTTTGTATAGGAAAGGATATGAGCAATATTTGATTTTCGGAAGGATGAACTTAGATTGTTGAGTTACAGCGTATATCAAGCCACATTTGTCTCATCACCTTTAGCAATGACTACTATATATTGATTTCGATCAGAGATCAAAAAAGAGATCAGTAATTGCATCCTGTTAATTTATGTGGCAGTTATGAGCGTCTCTTTTATTCCTTTGTCTTTTCATTTGTGCCATGTTCAAAGAGAGAAATTTCTTTCTTCCATAGGATTAATAATGTTAATTTGAATGTTATCCATTTGGAGGATTTTAGGCAGCTGACATTAAATGATGGAGCATGTAACGGACCCTGAAAATAAAAGCTGTATAAAATACGTTGTGTTTACAAAAAGGGAAAGTAATTCTACTAACTGGTGAATCCTGGCTCTCCAGAAGAATAAGGAAATATGATTTATGTACTTTGACATGAGTGTGAAAAAGGAAGTATATAGTTTATAATGAAACATATACGTGTTTGAGGCTGTAGACACTAAGAATTATGTTCCTTTCCTAAAAGACATTGAATAATGTAATAAAAATCCATTAGCTGGTAATATATAGAAATGCCAGGTATAGCCTCTACATGGTGTTTTCTCCTGTTGCTTCTTTAAGAAACCCAAAGTATGATACTAAATGGTAACTTTTCAAAGAAATTTTAACGAGACACCTACATGCCACGTACATAATACATGTAACTTGGTAAGGGGACCCGATGCCTAAACAGGTATTTGTCCGATATCTCATCTGAATAAGCGAGGTTAATCACTTTGATTTTGAAGAAAGCTAGTTAAGGCTGTCCATGGCAAAGCAGAGTGTAATTTACCTGGCCTCTGCCTCTTCAGATCTCTGAGTTTCTAAGTCAGCGGGGTTCAAACCTTTTTTTAGCAATAAAGGGAATCCTTTCTTCAAATGAAATTTGAAAAGTAAGAGCCAAGGTAT